TGCCTATCTGACAACACACCCTGCCCTGGCTAAGCAGAGATCCAGAAAAGAAAGTAGGTTTCTATTCGTTTATAAAAAGATGGGTCGTGATTGCGAAGGGGTCATCAAGCGCTGCCTACGCTCACAGCTGCAAGGGCCCAGCCCTGGGCCGATGTCGCCACAAAACAAAACAAGGGACATTATGCAAAGATCTGATGTTCATTAGAGTCCCAGCTGTGACTCAGGGGCTTGGGATGCAGCAGCAAAGGAGTCCAGGGTTTAAGGAGAATGAGGATAGGCTGAGATGAATAAGACTGGGCTTTTCAGCTTGGAAAAGGGGGGGATATGATAGAGGTCTATAAAATCATGACTGGTGTGGAGGAAGTAAATAAGGAAGTGTTATTTACCCTATCATATAACCCAGGAACCAGGGGTCACCAAATGAAATTAATAGGCAGCAGGTTTAAAACAAACATAAGGAAGTACTTAGTCACACAACGCACAGTCAACTTGTGGAACTCTTTGGCAGAGGATGTTGTGAAGGCCAAGACACCAACAGGGTTAAAAAAAAGAACTAGATAAGTTCATGGAGGACAGGCCCATCAATGGCTACTAGCCAGGATGGGCAGGGATGGCGTCCCTAGCATGTTTGCTAGAAGCTGAGAATGGGCGACAGGGGACGGATCACATGATGATCACCTGTTCTGTTCATTCCCTCTGAAGTACCTGGCATTGGCCACTGTCGGAAGACAGGATACTGGGCTAGATGGACCATTGGTCTGACCCAGTATGGCCATTCTTATGACACACTGTTCCAGCCTCTAGCTCCTTCCACACTACAGACCAGATTGTGGCTGCTCCGGGGCAGGCCCACAAGTGAGGAGAAGGTCAGAGCGACTTTCCCTCCTGTCCCCCCTTGTGCACCTGCAACTCACTGGTCAGCGTGTCCTACGTATCCCTCTCAGTGCCCATCCACAGAGGACTGGGTCTGTCGCAGCCCCACCTAGAGTGCCTTGGCTCTTCAGTTCAAGCGACAGAGCTTTACGCTTCCAGCTCTGAAATCCCCAGTTCAATCCCCAGTGTGTCAGCAAAGATAGCAGCTGTCGAACACCTGCACGGAATCTGCAGTCTGCTTTCTGGCTCGTAAGACGATTCACGTGCTGGCTGGGATGTTACATACTCTAAAGAGGGGCTGGGAGATGGCCAGGCCCCTACCATCTTGCCGGCTGCCTGACAATCCAAGGCGGAGAACACGGAGAGGGTAAGCAACACCTGGAAAGAACTGCGCGGGGCTGTCCTGCCAGCACCCCAGGAGGCATCCTGCCTGGGTCAGCTTTTAGCACAGAGAATGACTGCTGCTGGCGCAGTGAAGCTCTGCAGCTCCTCTAAGGTATCTGTAGCTTAAAAATGCTCTTTAGCTGTGGAAAGGGACGATGTAAAAAATCTGAACTGGTTGGAAACTTTTCCGTTCACTTTTTTTTTGGACGAACAATTGGATTTTGGACGAATGTTTTTTTCAAAAGGCATCTGCTCTCCTCAGAGGTGGTCCATTTTTAACATTTGCTATTTCTGAGGGGGGGGAAATCAAAGTTTTCCACAGAAAATTGCAATGAAAACAACAACAAAATCAGTTTTCACTGAATTTTTTGGGAGCGAGAGAGTATTTTCTGTCTAGCTGTGGTAGAACTAGTCCCCTTTTCCTCAGCAGATCTGCTCCCTCTGGGTGGATTCAGACTCCCGTTAACGTCGCAGAGCCAGCACAGCGATGGGAAGGGCGCTGGAGTTTGTTGATACACAAGAAGGAACAGAATCATTTACTAAGCTCCAATCAATCACATCTCCCTGTTATCAGCAGTAGGGTTGCACAAATGGAAGCGAGGCCAGGACTGGACTTGTGGTTCCTTTGTCACTGACAATGACATGCAAGGAGGGATATGCTCAGACTTGACTCTCAAAAGACAGGCTGACTCTGCAAGGCAGACAGAAAACACCTTCCCATCTTTTCCCCCCACCAAACCAGTAAATTGAGCATTTATTGGAGACAGAATCATTTAGAACACCCCCCAAGTTGCCATGTTCACAGAGTTGCTTTGCAGAACAGAAACTCCCTTGAAAATATACCTGGCTCTGCTATGGAGGTGTGACTTGCAGCTCCACAGTTAAGGCTGAGGTGAGATTTCCCCTTAACCTCACTCACCTCGGTCACACTGAAGCAAACACAAGGCAACGTTTTGCAAGTGGAAGTGAAGGACAGTGTAGCCAAGTGAAATGCCAATTATCTAAGCTGGAATTTGGCCAGGGCACCAGGCTCAGTGATATCCCTACGGGTGGAAAATACCATGGAGTTGTTAATGACCCGGGATGATCAGAATGTCAGGGTTACACCTCATGTGAAAAAACAGCCCCTCCATCCACACAGGGACTCCTACCCCCACTGGAGCATACTGACTCAGAAGGAAAAGAGCAACCTGCTATATTGCTAACACCTCCATGGAAGACCCAGGTACTGCAGCAATAGGTCTCTCCATACTTGTGTTGACCCAGAAACTGAAAAAGTTCCAAACCGAGTTAGGACAGCCTTCTGGTAAACGCAGAGGCCTGGTTCTCAGGGGATCTTGGTTCCAATCCCAGTTCTGCAACAGACTATAAGCCAGTGGTTCTCAACTTATTTATCATTGTGGGCCTGTGTTACCTGGGCCACACGTTGAGAACCACAGCGCGCCCCCCTCAGACACGCCTCCACAGACCTCTATGCCCAGCGCCTCCCGCCCAGAGACCCCTCCACAAAGTGGGGCCAGCCAGTGTCCCCAACCCCATCGTACCATGCCCTTCCCGGCCGGGCAGCCTGGACCCCGTGGCACTGGGTGGTCAGCTGGGTTGAGAACCACTGCTATAGGCTATACACTGACTCTCTCCATGCCCTTATTCCTGCAGACCTAAGTCTTGTCTATTTAGACTAAGCTTTTCAGGGCAAAGACTGGTGTGGTCTCTTACTATAGGTATGCAACACTACAAAGCACAGTGGGACCCCATCTCGGTTAGGGCCTGTAGATGCTAGTGCGATACAAATAATAATAATAATAATAAAAGCCCAAGGTGGTATGGCCTTAAATCTGAGTGAGTGCCCCACATAACTAGAATCCTCCCATTAGTGCAGCTACATGTGGGATCAATTCTGCCATCTGCACGCACACATTAACTCCCAATGCCATCACTGGAATTTATGGGCATGTGTTAACAGTTTAACATGCCCCAAGAAAAGAAGCAGAGCTGTTATTCTGTTTAAGTACAAAAAGTTCCTACTGAGGCTTTGTACAATAACATGTATTAACGCATGTGTTTCATTCAGATTCATCCAGAGACTCTGCCAAGCTTTGGGCAAACACTCAAGAGCAGCATGAGCTAAAAGAACCCCGGCAAATAAACATGAGAGAGCCAAATACAGATCTTGTATATGCACACACGGTTCCCTTGACTTCCACAGGCGTTGTGCCTGGCTGTCCCGGGGTGGAATTTGACCTAATATAGGAGAACATCTCAAATAAATCACTGTGCAATATTTCAACAAGCTGCAGCCTATATTGTCTGACAGCACATACCATGTGAGTGAGAAATGGTAAATCCACAGGAAGAGATATCCCTTTGTTGCAATGGTAAAATCCTTTAGCACATAATATCGCAAATTCTCTGGAGCAGGGGGGTGGGGTCCTGATCCAGACTGGGATTCTGGCACTACTTCTATACATACATACATATATACATATACATATACATATATATATATATATATAAAATAATCATTTGGATTAAACCAATAGGGCTCGCTAGAAATTACATTATAAAGTAACCCATAGAATGCAGTGGAGAATGCTCATCTCTGCACAGAATTTTTAAGACAGCCTATAGAATGTAATAGAGAATTATATTCCTGGCATAAAATTCTCTGTGCTGGTTTACTAGATCTATACAAAGTATACCATCCTCTATTAAATCCTATGGGATTTTCCATAAAGGTCTTATTAACAGTCAAGAGGAGTCCAACAACAACACTTTTCACCAATCATCTCAAAGTACTTAAAAGAGGAGTCATTTCGGAGACAGAAACCGAGGCAGAAAGAGATGAAGAGACTTGCCCAAGGCTACACAAGTCTGTGGCAGAGCCAGGAATAGAAACCAGCCCCAGTAGGCGCTGCACATGTGGACTGAGGGACAGAAGGCTCATGGCCAAGTGTTCAGATAGAGTAGGACCTCAGCACTGGCTGAAGACTAGCAATTGGAGTGTAAAGGATGTTCTGTTTCATTTGAGTAGCACTTCACACACATTCATTCTCACAACATTCCAAGGGGGGTAAGTACCGTACCAGGAATCCCCTTTTACCATGTGGAGCAAGAGAGGTTCTCCTCTCACACTGGTGAAAATCTAGAGCAATGCACTGAAGCAGCAGAAGTGAGAAAAGAATTACTAGTTTCATCCCAGGGGCAGTGCTGGGATTAGAACGCAGGAGCGGCCGAATCCCAGCCCACTCAGCCCCGTTATTTCCTTCTTGTTGACAGAAGAGAGTGAAGCAGAAGGCAAAAAGTAAAGAAAATGGGAGAGAGAACAGTTAATGCAAAGGTGAGAGAGGGCCTGGCTTCCTCAGGTTCTGTCCCAGGCCTTGAGCAAATTCAGCAGCACTGAATTCATTTGAATCCCCTACAACTAGATATGTTTTCTCTTCAAGTCTGAAACCAGGAACCTCTGCACTTCCCCGGGCTCTTAAGCAAGATAACGGACAGCGCTTCTCTTGGATCCAGGCAAGGCAGCAACGAGCACATGAGCTCAGCTGGCACAACTTTTCCTCTAGGCCGAGACCCAGACACTAGCTGCACTGAGCCTTCAGTGCGCTGGTCAGATGTAAAAATGTCAGGAGACAAGAATGAACCACAGAGATTGGGGGGGGTTGTGGGGGGGTTGGTACAGCCAGCCTGTGAAGAACCAGCACTGGTGCGCAGTGAACCTGAGCGCATCGCATTTCACTCACCTGTTGAATACTTCCGCGTCCTCTCAGCGTCTTTATACAGGGACCCCATGATGTCGCCCGTGGACTTGGATATTCTCATCTCATGCTGCTTACTGTTGTTGGGCTGGAGGAACTGCAAATCAAAGGAAGCGGTTACACTCTGCCCCAGGGCAGCGGTTTGTACCTTGCCAGACATTCCCATGAAAATGACCTTTGGTGACTATCACCATGTTTTCTGGTTACCAAATGAACTGAATCAGAGAGACAAACAAACAAACAAACAAACAAACAAACAAACAAACAAACAAACAAACAAACAAACAAACAAACAAACAAACAAACAAACAAACAAACAAACAAATTAATCGAATATCATAAAAGAGATCAGATCTCAATCAATAAGGATAAATAAAAATATGAAACAGGACTTATAGTTTGTTTCTGGTAGCACCTACAACTGTTATTTCCAGCCAGAAAAGAGAGGGCCCCTGCCCCTAAGGGCTCACAATCTCAGGCCAATGGCGCCGGGACCAGGGGGGCTTATAGCCCTCCCAATTTTAGCTGGGGTAGACCATGCCCGCTTCCCCTCCTCTTGCCTCCGAAGCCCCATCCCCCAGCCAAGCCAGCGTGCAGTCTGGCCGGGGATCCTGGGCAATTGTGGGAGCCGTGTGGACCCTCCACCTGCCCACCATGCGGGATAGCTGAGAGCGGTCCCCGGCCCATGTCTCCACCCAGCCCAGGGCAGGCGGAGGCGGAGCCAGGGTCCGCGATTCTGCACCAGCTCACCACAGCTGCCCACGCCACTCTTCCCAACCTGGCCTTGGAGCCGCAGCTTGGCCATGGTAAGAGCCCCGTGGACAGCCGTGGGCTCTCCACCTGCCCTGGACAGGGGGGCTGGGGGCTGCTTTCGACGGGCCCCCTGCACCGCGGGCAGGTGGAGTGTCCATCGCGGCTCCCCACTTCTGGCCATACTGCAGCTCCAAGGCCCCACCCCTGGCCAGAGCCGGGATGGGAAGAGCCACACAGGCAGCTGTGGTGAGCCTGGGTCCCTCTACGTGCCTTGGGCAGGGGGGGCCCTTGGGGACGGGGACACGGGCAGGGGCCTGATTTTGGTCCACCCTCACCTCGGACAGTGTGGCAGGGGGGCTCCCCAGCCCTGCTCTGGCTTGGCCAGGGGTGGGGTCTCCAGGAGAAGAGGAGGGGCGAGCCGTTGGGGAGGAAGGGGAGGAGTCTGGGGGGGAGGGGCCCCCAGCCTCCCCACTTTTGGGAAGGCTCCGG